GTGCCGGGTCCTGCTCTTCTGTCACAATAACTCCATGCAGCCCTACAGGCCTGGGGACAATTGGCTGGAAAACTGCCTGGCAGAAAAGGACCTGGGGGTGGTGGTCAACAGCCAGCAGTGTGCTCAGGTGACCATGGAGGCCAATAGCATCCTGGCTTGTATCAGAAATAGTGTGGCCAGCAGGACACCATATACTTGTGAGGCCACACTTCAAATACTGTGTTCAGTTTTGGGTCCCTCACTACAAGAAAGACATTGAGGTGCTACAACACATCTGAAGAAGGGCAACAAAAGCTATTGAAGAGTCTGGAGAACAAGTCTTATGAGATGTGGCTGAGGAAACTGGAGTTGTTTACTGAGGGAGCTTGGTCTCTTTAGCTTGGAGAAGAGACTGAGGGGTGACCTCATTAATGTTCATAAATTTGTAAAGGAAATTTGTAAATTTGTCAGGAGGAAGGAGCCAGGCTCTTCTCAGTGAAAGCCAATGATAAGGCAAGGGGCAATGGGAGCAAGCTGGTGCATAGGAGGTTCAATCTGAATATGAGGAAAAGCTTTTTTACTTTGAGGGTGACAGAGCACTGGAACAGACTGCCCGGAAAGGTTGTGGAATCTCCTTCCTCGAAGACACTCAAAACCCAACTGGACACATTCCTATGTGACCTAGTCTAGGTGATCCTGCTCTGGCAGGGGGGTTGGACTAGATGATCTTTTGAGGTCCTTCCCAACTCCTAATATTCTGTGATACACAGTAAGAATTTATAAAGCTGACAATATGACTGAGAAATAGCTAGAAAAGAGAATAATACTAGGAAGTCCATTGCCTGAACTCTGAATAACTTATAAAGGTAAAATAGCTAATAGGTATAATAAACTTATATAGATAAAACATTCATGTTGTAATTGCTATATATATATATATATGTAAATTTATGTATACATTCATATACATTATATATAAATATGGCATAAAGGGGCTATATAGGAAGTAACAGTGCTGTTGAAGATTGGAATCTTCATCATATATTATAGTAAATATAATTAACAAATTAAAACATGCATGATAGCTGATGTTTTTTAGTCTGATGACAAAATGTATTAAGAACCAGTTACAACGAATGACTCTGGGTTCTTCAAATTCAGGATTGTTTAAACACCAATATACTTGTGCACAGAGATTGCTGGTGTATGGGACTGAGCTTGCTAGTCCCATTGAAACAAAAGAGGCCTGTATAATAAATCAAGTGTCGAGTCAAAGGTGTGGCTAAAGGAGGGTTGAGGGAGACTGCTCAATGAAAGAAGCAGAACAAGAATACTGTGGAGGGATCGCGGCTTACAAAAACCTGGTGGCCTTTCACTTACGAATGCCATATGTCTGACTGCTGTTGCAACCTGGCTGCCTCTTGAAGGCCATTCCCCTACAAAAGCCTCCCTGCAGCAGGGAAAGCAAGAATTCTCCACCAAAAGGGTTGTCAACCACTGGAACAGGCTGCCCAGGGAAGTGGTGGAGTCACCATCCCTGAAGGTTATTTAAAAGACGTGCAGATGAGGTGCCTAGGGACATGGTTTTGTGGTGGACTTGGCAGTGTTAGGTTAATGGGTGGACTCAACGACCTTGAAAGTCTTTTTCAACCTAAATGATTCCATGATTTTATGAAATGTCCAAAGTCAGTAGACTAGTCAAAAAAGCAACGGTCTACTGGTGCACTGGAGTTGACAGGTATGAACTACATAATGTCAGAACCAGTGTGTCAAAGCAAATATTGATTTTGTTGCTCACATTAATATAAGGGACAGATCAGTTCAGTGAATATTAATCTAATTACTCCTATCCCCAGGAGCAAGTTTTATGGTCATATACTTTGCATGTGAATTCACTGCAGGGCACAGTTAAGATTGCTTGAATGCCCTAATTTCTTCTCAATACCTTAATGTGCTTGGATATTCTTTAATTTAACATTGACTCTGAATTGTCTGGGTTATAGTTCTTACTATAACTGCATCATTCCTGTAATGAAGTTTCGTGTAAATTACGAATATGTGCTATTAATCTTGACTTCAATTTAACATCACTTTTGCCTGAGAACTACATTGATAACTGGGCCCAAGTGCCCAGCTGATGTAAAGCCACTGACCTCCAGCTGAGTCAACAAAGCTATGCTGACTTAAGATAATATATTGTTTTACCAGCTATAAACACTAAGCTAAACAGTAACACTGTGCACAGTATGGATGTTAATAAAGTTGAAAGCATTACTAGTTTTCTAACATTGATTTCCAATCTTGAACTCATCTGTTTTGGGGCTACCAATTCATTGTCATTGCACTGAAATTAGTAAAACATTCAGAAATATACATAATATTATGAATCATTACAGGCATATTACATACTTGAAAATCATAGAAGAATCTGCCAACGTTTAGTTAATGTACTTAAAGAGTATTTTAAAATCACCAAATGCTTGGTCACTAATTAAAAATCTCACACAATTTTTAAAGGGGTGGGTGTGTAGGTGTATGTGGGTGTGCTTGTAGTAAACAATGTACTTCACTATTATATTAGTTAGAGTGTAGATGAGAAGGCATCTTTATATCTATTGCCATTGCCAAGAGGAAATAAAGATGTTTTCATTAATATATAAATACTCACGATAATGTTGATTGTTGGGTGAGACTTTAAGTGAGACTTTCTTACTTAAAGAAATTTTATATATAAAAAGCCATTTGATTTTGGTATAATGAGTAAAGATGACCACATCAAATATTTATAATGATACAAGTGACAGAAAAATTGCAGTACAAGATCAAAAGTCTTGATAAACATTTTTTCTTGCTAACAGTTTTGATGACATCTGCATGCAGTCATTAAGTCTAGAACATTTAGCCTCTGATTATTTGGTATAAATTTTCATCCAGCAATGACACCATGTGAATGTATTCACAGTAACTACCTGGTATATACTTTTCAGAATAGTAATTGAGGGACTTCCTATGTCTTAGAATATGTTCTTACTTTTGATTAACTACTTTTAAAAATGGTGTGACCTGTTTCAAAAGTGATGAAGAAAAATACTTTGGCATATTTTTCAAATTAAATGGATCAAATATTCTTGCTCAAATATACAAATGTATATCTTTATGATTTGATCCCATTAAAAGCCCTGGGGTGACAATTACACCAAAGTAGCTAACTCTGCAAAAACGAAAAATTACTTAGGATGATTTTGTACATCCAATGTTTAGGTGACCCAAATGATGACTAATAAAAAAATCAATGCTTTAAAGAAAAAAAAATCCTAACTTCTGTAAATCAAATCTTTTCAAAATGAATCTGGCATAGAAGTGGAGGCACATAAAATGACACTATCTTAAAAATTTGCCTTAGGAGTGTCATTTAATGGATGAATCAAATCAATGATGAAGAACAGTTTCCCATTCTCGAAAAGTCATGGATTGTGACTCTGCATTGTGCTTTCACAGAATTAAGTCACACAGAAGATTTTTCTGATTCCAAGTTACATGAAATTCTCAAGAATGGAAGTCCTAGAAAAGTTAGATTTTTTTGAATTTTTTTTTTCTGAAACATGTAAACATAAATAGTTTTTAATTTTTATTAAAAAATAATTACATACCCAATAAAAAACCACTTTCACTAAAAAGATTAACTTCAGCCATTTTTTCAAAGAAAAAAGAGTTATGATAATGTATAACAACATATTCCTTTTGCCTGTTCCCATTTTTTTTCTATTTTTTTCAGAAACATCATCACTGTGAAATGTCAGCATTAACTTAAAACACAGTTAGAAACCTACCTTCCTATAAACTGCACAGCTTCCTTTGTCAGTCTCTCAGTAAGGTTCTCATAGGATAGTGGTTGCTGGATAATCTGATAGTCTCTCATTAAGAAGCAGTTCAAGTGTCGAAAATGGTAAAAGAAAAAAATCAAAACCGCAAGTGAAATAGCGGTTATTAAGAAGCAGTAACCCAATGCTTGGAATGGTACTTTGAGGAGGCCAAAGTACTGCACTATTGCCAAAGAGACCACAGTGATTCCAGCAATTTGGATTGGGATGACAAGAGATTTCTGAACCCCTTTTAAAAATACACTGCCTTGGCCAGGTTTGCAGTCTCTAAAATTGGTCACGGTAAGCCCATAAAAGTAATCAAATCCATGACTGAGGGGGTGGTGACAGAAGTCATTACTGCTTTCACAGTTCATCCCAAGATGCCACTTGCCTACAAAGAGAGAAGGACAGGGAGTACTTTTGTAGTTAAATCATCAAACTTATCATGTGTGCTATTCAAACATGAAACTCACTATCTGGCTGGTATCCTCCTGCCCCCAGCATTTATTGTGTGGATCCCTATTTGCTATCTAGTATTTCTCTATGCCTTCATCAAAGACTTTGTTTCATGTCTGTCTCTTCACTCTGGTCAGAAATAGTTTGGCACAGCTTCTGATGGAGACCATTAAATTCCAAGTGAGCCAGCAGATCACTGAAGAGCAACAGAGCCCTAAGAGAAAGCTAACTTTGAAAATAAAGCCTTTGTGCATGTGTAGTTAAGTTGGCATAAGAAAATACTGTTTTGAAGCAGCTACTGCTTTCTTAGGAAGAGCCAATATGGAGTTGCAAATTACATTTTCTAATTTTTTTCTGGCAAAACATTCAAATTTGACTAGTTAAAAAAAAACCACAAAACAAAAACAAAACCAAAAACAAAACCATAACAAAATTAAGACAACAGTAACAAACAGGAAATAGATCAAGAATAGTGAAATTACCAAGGCATTTATTATTTAAATGAATGCAAACTCTCTGAAATTGCCAATCTCTCCCCACTAGTGAGAGGGATTACTTTTATTCATATATATTTTATATATATAAAAAAATAACAAAATAAACAACAGTAACAAGTAAATGATGCTAAATATTATCTTTCACAGCATTTTGTCTCACTAGGAAACCATTCTAATTCTGCAATAATGTTGGACACTGACTGACACAAGAAAACAGTGAGTCTGATTTGCATTATAGTAGCATAATGTATGTTCATCCTGATTACAGTAAGTAGATAATTCATCCTATGACTCAGGTACAAGCCCTTACCATATGCTTATGCATCGCTTAGTGCCACAGACCTAACTGTTCGGTAGCCGTTATTTAAATTTAAATGCATAATTTTAAAAAATCAAATTCATTTAAGCCCATTGACATAAATTATGGCTAGAGCTATGGTCTTTGGTCTCAGTGAGGAAATTTGTTGAATATTTGACATAAGGTGTCACCCTCGACTAAACAGTTGACAATATATATTGCTGGGCCAAATTTTATTTATTTTTTCTGAATCAAATACCAAAACATGACCAGTATAATTCAGGGGTATTGACCTTAAAAAAAACCCCAACCAACCAAACAAACAAAAATCCCGCAAACTCAGTAAGTCCTCAACCCCAGCCCAAAGAAACTGAAACATTTTGATCTAGAGATTTCAGGATACACATGGTAGAAAGTACAGCAAAGGAATAAAGCCTATAGGGAATTTTTCCCTTTCCCGAACCATCCCAGCTTTTACACATTTGTAAGAAAGAGTCCTGATGCAAGCAGCCTTGAGCATCTCCTGGGTCTAGAAAGAACTGTATTCATCTTGCTGCCTTCAGCAATGCCAAATGCAGACACTGCAGTCCCAAGAGGGTGAAGATGGGTGTCAGTTTGGATTTTTTGAAATAGTACCTAGCAAATGGGCTCAGTGTCATTATTTCACTTTCACAAATGACAGAACTAAGATATGGGATGAGAATGTCTTGTGTCTAAGTTCACCTGTCAGCAAAGGTGAAGAAAAGTACCACAGAAACCTTGAACCTAATTGAATGCTTAGTTGAGTCCAGTTCTCCTTGTACATCTCTTGATGATCTTAGGCTAGAAATACCTATATCATAGAAGCAGGTATAAAAGCATTTTCGGGTCTGGTTATGTGTCAGTGAAATGGAGGCCTCTGCAGCTTTTTCATCCCATCAGAAGTCTTCCCACTACTGCCAGATGGCCCCTAACCTGTGGCACTATTCTCCTTTCTGTAGGGCAGAATGGCTTTCATCACTACTTTTTAGAAGGTCTAGTGAATATTAGTGTGGTTGATCAAAGAAACAGCAATGCAGACCACTATGCTGAATTTTCAGATGTTATAATGGTGCCATAAAGGGCTAGCTAAGAGTGCAGCTCTGAATTTCATTCCCAGCAAGCCAGGATACAGATTTTGGGAAATAAATGCTTCAATGTTTTCTCTTAGGTTTACATAGTTGTCTTTATGGAATATTCGTAAAGCCAGATGTGTGGCAAGGTGAGTATGCAACAACTCTCACCAAGTTGAAATACAGGCAGAGGTTGCAATCATGAATATAGATGATCTTAAAACTATGATTTTTAATTTTTGCTGTTGATTTTTAATTTTTGCTGAATCATCTAAAATTCAGTAGAGGAAAAAAAGAAAAAAGAAATAAAGAAAAAGAAACCCCAAAAAATTAAATGTACTTTCAAGGTCATTTATTATAATATAAAGAAGTTTGTTTAAACAGGATCTCAATAAAACTATGTATTGCAAGCCAGTACAGAAGAATCTTGCAACAACAAATTAGGATGGGAAAATATAGGACCTATTTTTATCAAAAGGGTTTTAGCAAGCACAACAAATTGTTCAATGTCACGATGAACTTGGGTCTAAAAAAACCCATTTGTTCAGAAGCAACTTAAGCCAAACAAAGGAGACAGCAGGTTAGCTGGGAGAAGCAACAGCAGCACTGGTTCAAATTATATCGGCAGCTGTGACAGAAAGACACAATTGCCATTCTCAAATAGCTGATGAGGTAGAGAGTTTTGATAGATCCTGCACTACTTTGAAAATGCAAATGATGACTGGGTTCCACAATAGATGTTTTGTTTCATTTCTTGTGACAATAACCCCTGCCTTGAGCTAGCGTTTCAACAGATTATTGTAATGTGCTTTATCCTCTGGGGTCCTTCTGAATCTGAGAGCAGAGCAAAATGCTCTCACCTCTTTGACAAGTGAAGTTTCATAGTACGGACACTTCACACAAGCATCATACACATTTCAGAAGATTCTATCAAGCTTTTGAGTGAAATTTATGCTGTTAATTGTAAATAATGAGTACCTTAATAGTTTGAGACCTAGATTTCCGGAGAGCAAAAGCAATGCAATGAAAGGCAAGTGGAAATAAGAGCAAGTCCTAGTCAGCCAATAAACTTAATTTGGAACTCAGTTTTTCAGAACCCAGAATGCTGGAGAGGCTGCAAAAATCCACATTTCTTCTCTGCTTCTCTCTCAGACAAGTTGAAAAGAGAGCAACGCGAAGATTGAGTTGTATATAATGATATATTTCTTTTGCTATTTTTTGCTCTTCAGATAAATGGCAAGATGCAAGATGCAGAGCAAGATGCAAACAAATATTTTTATGTGCTCAAAGAAATGTATTTATATGAAAAACATAGCAATAATAAGTATATATGCATATATTGTAATATGGCCAGATTTTAAGTAGTTCTATTCATAAATGCTCTACTACTCCTACTCCATAGACTCAATCAAACTGGTATTAGACTCATCACAGTCCAGATATTACAACACCTCATTCTGGAGAAAAGATACAAATCCCAGTCTATCCATTAGTATTGTAAACTTTGGGGATGGGTGGATTTTAAACTTCTCTGGATGCCAGAAAACACACTGGATAGCGGTAGTGAAGAAGAGTTGACCTTTACTCAACTGTAATTGAGTATAGCAGTAGCTAAAATAATACTAATCTACCTTTGGTGAAATTTTTGCATTATGGATAGCTATTTCCTACAAAACACCAACATTTCTTGCTATTTTGCAGGAGGCTTAACTGTCAAAATATAACACATTCAATGCATCTGCCTTTTCTGAGAAAACTCGGTTTTATTGCAGATCTTCCGTCTTTTCCTGCCAGATCTATTGGATGTCACCTTCTTTGTGTCATAGCAGAAAAGCAATGAGATAAAAAAGTAGACTACATAAAGTAGACTTATAGCTAAAATATGTTTAGGGAGGTATCAAGCAAGAGGAAGCATATATTCAGAGGAGAGAAAAATTAAATAGAAAGGAAAATGCATTTAGGAAAGGAAAAAATGTTCTTAGAGAGTAAAAGGGAGAGAAACTTGGCAAAAAAAAAAAAAAGAAGTAACAGTACAGGCTTGAGGAACTGAAAGACTTCAAATTACCCTTATGCCAATCCATCACTGGTGCAGGATTTGACAATAAATTGTTTGGGAACTGCTGAGTTAGACTGAACCAAGCAAAGACTCCCTGACCTAGACCAATACAATGAGAGAAGCATACCAGCAGAGGCAGAAAAAGGGCTGGTTGGAAATCAGAGTCTGCCTATCTAGTCTTCAAATCTACATAATTTTTCTTTTTGTCATTTACATATGCTTTATCCTTAATTTTAATGCACTTCTTGATTTCTAGAAGCCTTCATTATACTCTAAGGAAATGGTAATACTCCATCTTATGGTTTCATAGCTATCATTCAGGACACTTGGAAGAATTGTTCATTAAGCATCATGGAGATAACTTCTGGAGATCTAAGTGGCAAGCTGTCATGTTGCAGTGAAAGTAGTTAAAAAAGAACACTAACTAGGCCAGCCTCAGAAAATGAGTTGTGTTACAGTGCTTGTTACAAAGAGAAAAAAGTATTTTTTTGGATTCTTTAATTGAACATGTAGCAATAGGAATTAACTCCACAATGAACACAACTTATGAATGGCTTTTTTGCACTATGGTTCAAATACATGTGCACTAAATATACTTCTGCTAAGATTTTCTGGTTCTTTGTTTTGAATCTGTCAGGACATCAAGGTATTTTATACTTTCTAAGACTTGGGTATGGCTAAGTAGTACTTTTTGTTAGGAACATCAACTCTGGTTATCTACATAATACAGATATTTTTTTGAACAGTAGTGTGAATTGTTAAGCTTGCTAAACAGCCTGATTTTTTAAACAAAAATTACTCTCAGAATTGCAAGTTTTTGATATATTTAAAAATCAAACTGGGTGCATCCCAAATTAATGTAGTAATATTCCAGTATGATGTTCTCTAAACAACTATTACCTGGTAATTCCAATTCAGAAATACATTATGTTATACAAGTTGTATTTCACAAAAATCTTCTAAAATGCAAATAGTGTGCAATAAGTCAGTGGCCAAATTAGGAAAAAAATCGCACTATTTAAATGTTATACTTTTATGATATTCATTCTGATTTTGTTTAATATTTATATAGTGAGATTCCTTTCACCCATCACTGGATATTTATGCTGCCATTAGTTGTCTGAATTATCTTTATAATGAAAGAGAAACACATCTTTATATTAAACATCTACCACAGGATGAGACAAATTTCCTAGAAATGCCCATTTCTGTTTGATGACTAAGAAGAGAATCCAGATGGTTAGCCCAGGTACTACATCATCTGCTTTCTGGATATTTGAAAACTGGAGAAATTAATCCCACCACTGCGCTGACTTGTACCTTGCAATTGATCCCTCATTGTCTCTGTTGTAATCAAACTTCTGTTTATTCTTAAAACTGCTTAAGAGCTTGACTAATTTTCAATTTGGTCATCATGTTTCTTCAGTACCTTGCACAATAAGCCTATAACTAGACATACTCACCTGATTAGTGTTTCATATATGTATGAGAATGTGCTCAGCTTTGTGCCAGAAAAATAAACTCATTATGCTGTGGGGGGAAAAAGCTTAATGCAGACCCTTAATAGCCTATATGGAGAGCTAATGTTCCTTTGATTGAAATGAATGAAAAATAATGCTGTGTATGCATGCAATTTTACCTATTAGAGCTGTTGCATAACCTCTCTGCTTCAGGAGCTTGGAAAAAGTTATTTCTTCAGAAGGAAGTCCCCCAGAAGAGGCAGAAAATAAGAAGACACCAACTCGTGAGAAAGCAGCCATTCCTAAATACAACGAAAATGAATGAGACTTGGATAATATAATGAAACAGTTTCCATTCATTCCTTCCGCATACACTTTTTTGCTTTAGGTGGTTATCATTTAAATGACATATTAGCACCAGATGCTAACTGTTGCAAGTGGCAGATACAATCATCCACTTAGCTGAGCAAGGTCTTTTCTGTATTGACACCAGAAACTGAGTGGAGAAAAAATTCTCTGCTTATACCTGTGGGGCCAGCCATCATATAAACAGCTGTAGCCCTTTTGCATAGGTGTTCTAAGGTGTAATATATCTGAAAGCAGCTGAGCTTGCATAATTTTTCTTGAACATAGGGAAGGAGTGGAGATGAGGACTACGTGAGATCACCCCTAAGTTCTGCTTTCAGAACTTCCACTTTCCTCATATGTGGTTTTCTACAATTTGAGAGAAGGCCGTTGAAGGAGGGCAGTCTTATAGCTGGGGACGTAAACATCATGAGGTAAAAAAGAACAAGAGAGAGTCTGCTTCTGGAAATAGAGTGGGTAGAGAACTCAGCTTTGGTGGGAGACGACCAGTGCTCCAATGGCAGGGAGACACATGATTTAATGAACACAGAGTGCATTAAAGCAGCATCAGATATCAGCTAACAAGACAACATCTAAATAAGGTACAGTAATTTCTATATACTGAGAGTTCAAGGAACACAAACTTGAGCTTATAAACTACTCTCAGGATGAGGAATTTGAAAGCTCAGGTTCATTAAAATTAGATTAGTAGGATTCCAGACGAGAGCTGGCTCTGAGTATAGACAGAGAGAACACAAAATATCTATGCAAATCTGTGCAAATGTATCTCCAGGAAGTCTGAATTATGCAACTGGATGATTGCAGTGCCAAAGATATATGACTGATGTAGACGACCAGAATCTTCCCTCAAGTATCCTTTGTGGTTAGATGAGAAAAAGACTTGTTCAACTGGTTTATTACAGAGAGCTCAACCTACCCTTCAAATGTTTACTTCAGTTTTTCACCCCAGTTAGCTTTGTCGATCAACAGTTCAGGTGATTTTAGTCACCTATACATATACCTTACTATACCTTACTTATTATGTAAATACTTATTATGTATTTACTTGTATTTATTTATATTTATGTATTTTGATATCTTGTAACAGTGTAATTCTGTTAAGTTACCAGAATGAAAGTACAGAACTATGATTCTTTTTTCCATTGTTTCCTTTCCCTGAGTTTGTGTCTCATCAAATACTGCATTTTGGAATATTCTTCTCCAGCTTTATTAGCAGAAGTTTTAAATTTCTAACTTTTATTCTACATCATGATTCTAGTATCTTCTATAATAAACCTTTACTAGTTTTTCGCAGGTATTTGGAAGTACTTGATATTTAGCAATTTCATAATATAATTAAGGCAAAGTTCATTTTTTGCAACTAAATGAAAATTATTAGGAATGACTGAGAGCAGATCAGTTAAGAAAAAGACCAGTTCAAATGCTAATTTTTCATAAATAAGAACAAGGATCATAATGGAAAGTGACCTGTGGCATTATCTACAGTAAATATTAATAGCATTATAGCTGTAACAGGTATACAAAATTTTCCTATGCAGCTGAATGTAATGGAAAATTTAGCGAGTTATATTAGCTGGCACTTTTGCAGAAGCTTGTTACTTGATTTGAATGAGCATGAACATATCAAGTAGGCTCCAGAGTCTTGCTTTGCTTTCATTCCCAGAAGCAAGGACAGGATGTTTTATCACTAATGAACAAGTGATCTGATTAATGTATAATGATCCTTGCTAAAAATGATGTTAAAGGAATGTTAAAATTGCATGGCTAAGCACTGAGAGGCTCAGTCCCAGCACACTAAAATAAACAGACTGGATCTTTACTGATTCAAATGAGCTTTGGATAGGTACTTTAAAAAGTAAGAGAAATTATCAAATGCATGTATTCATAGGATACTTAACACTGTGTATGGGTATATATGGAACAAAATTACTTAGAAAGAAGGGAGATTTTTTTCCTTTCTTCTTCCTAGCTTTAAGAACTGCTGGAATATCTTAATGAACTCTCCTTCCTCTCCTCTCCTGAAAAAAATAACAATTTGTCAAAACCAAAAGGTTTTGTAGAAATAGAAGTGTCTGAGCAGCAGGATTTATACTGGATTCTTCCATTGTGCCTTTCCAGATGTATCTGTGATGCTCAACACTCAGGCTGCCCACCAACATCCTGGGAGCAGCCTGAATGCAACTGGGGAGGAGGGAAAGAGCCCACAGTCATTTGGACAGTGAAGGAAGTCAATGGAATTTGGCTGCATCTTCTATTAAATAACCACAATCACTTTTTTCCACAGTATTTTTAAAAATCTTTTTCTCAATAAAAAGCCTTATTTTTGTGTTAGCGCTTCTGAAATGTGAAAATTTCTCATATATATGGAAGATTTCAAATGCCCACCAGCTCTGCTGATCTCGATTAATCACTGAAAGAAGTACCAAACCTAGTAACAATAAAGATATCAAGAAAGCCCAGAGGAAAAAATGTTTACAGTTTACAGCAAATAAAATATCTATGGATGAAATAATGAGTGTTTACCTGATCTGATAGGATATCGCCCTGTCAGGAAAGCTGCCCTGCTTGGAGTACAAAGTGGGGCTGCTGCTATATGTTGAGTAAGCGTCACTCCTTCCTCTGCTAGCCTGTCAATGTTAGGGGTTCTAGAAAATATAAGCAGGGAAAAAAATAAAAGAATACATAAAGGTGATTATTTGGAAACAGGCATGGTGAGATCAAGGCATCCAAAGCAAAAACTATCAGGAAAATCAAGTTAAGATTTACTGTATGCAAATTATCAAAACCACGTTGGTGTTGCAATTCTAAATACTATCTTGTCAAATATTTTTACAAAAGGTGTCACTACTAAATTGGGATGCTATAGAATTTTGCCAAAAATCTTTTTCCCCACTTTCATCTACTCTTCATGGCCAGTGCATAACACCTGGACGTGTTATGTTGCAACCTTTTTTAATGCATTCCCTGACTCAGAAATGTAACTTTGCTGCTTACATGGCCTTTCTGCTTCAGCAATGAGGAGAGTAGAGACTACAGAAAGGTTATGCTTCCTTACCCCCTACTAGGTATCACTTCTCTCTCCCCAGCAAAATTTTTGGGGTAGGGATAATGTGTGGTGGTACCAGTTATTAGGAGAAATTCACTCTGTCTTTGGCTCTATATTAACAATGTTTACATGTCTGAAATGAGTATGTCTGCAATATTAGATCCAGGAGGACATCCAAGATTCTGTATCTGCATGGGCAACTTGACTGTGACTTGGCTTATCATACACGTGAAAATTGGTTCCTGAGGGAAGAAATTCTGTGCCCTTAGTTCTGCAGAAAAAAAACTAGGAATGCAGACTCGTCAGGAGCTGCAGCACATTCTAAATAGGTCCCTGACCTGGGAGATTAATGACTATGACCTCAAGGCACAGTAGTCCTCCAATCATCTAAGTCTGAATAGTCAAAAATAATAATTTTCCAATAGATTACTTTGCTATCTCTGATATCATCTACAGATAACAAGCAGTATGATGAAATTTCTTCTTACTTCAAAGATCTAATTCTGAATAGTTTTATCAGATAACATAGTTCCTGGAGCAGTTCTGGTCCTTGGGAGGAGAATGAGCCAAGCATTGGTGCTGAATATACTTTTTTTCCAGTTTAAAACTAGAAGGTGCAATTTGAGCGATTTTTGTTAAGTTTGAGTTATGAGGAGTTTATACTTCCAACTAATTTCAGCAGAAACAAGGGTATTTAATATTTGACATGACAGTGCTTTTAGTCTGATTATTTTATTTAACTTGATCAAAGAAACACCCCTGAAACACAATGACCAGGTACAACTTGTGCTGTTTACACAACCATCATACCTAAGCTGCTATCAAGGATGATACTGGGGAACACTGCTGAACTACTCAGGTATATTAACAATCATTTAAAGGAATTTATTGATCACAGCATAAAGATAAATGAAGAAAAAAAGTCAGTACTTTATTTCCAATTGGTTAGTGACAAGCTTGTCTGAAATCACGAGTGCTTCAGAATATGCTTAATGCATAGTATTTGCGTCATGTACATTTTAAAAGAAAATTGCTGATTATACTTTGCTTCTCTAGACCTACTCTTATCTGGTTGATTGCTTAATTCTCTGTTTATGATGCACCTTTTCAGCAGG